TTTGATTGATACGAAGTGGGCTCAGCTAAACCGGCTCCTAGATCTTTAAGCAGTAGATTTGGTCTTGTGGATTAGATATCGATATTGGTGTTTTGATTTCCGAGTGTTGTAAACGCTTTTGTGAAAAAACATCCTTTGGAATCTACTCATGATAACCTGACAAGGTAGTATGGGCAGCGGCACTACGGAGGCAGTGTGAGTGCTACCGGCAGTGGTGGGAACGCTCTCCTTGCTTGTAGTTAGAATAATTAGGGTAGGAAGAAAACTTGAACTGTATCCATAGTGATCTTGGTCCGTTGATTGATATTGTCTCTGAAGATCCAAGGGTGCGTGGTGGGAAACCCGTCTTGGCGGTTCAGGCTGCCTTGAGTTTACAGATCCGTACTTGGTCTCTTTTCTGTAAGATCTTCAAGCGAAGCTGGGTAAGGCTCCCAGAGAGATTAGCAGGAGATCCAGGATATGAATTCCTCAGTAGTTCTTGGCTGTTTGGTCCCCCTATTCTGATTCCTAAAAGTTTCGCTCCAGTTGCTCACTACACTTTCTTTGCAGTTGCAGACCAGGGGACGCTGGACCCGGTTTCCAGCACAAGCTTCACTACCGGGTTGAGATGTTGAGGGATTCCCCGCCTCATTCATTTACTTTTATAATATAAGCTGCGATTTTCATTGGAAAAAAAAAAAAAAAACGGCTGATGCTGCCGGGATAACTTCCGGGTGGAATTGTGGGGTCCCCGGCCTCGGATTGTTGTTCAGTCTGGAATTGAAGATTAACCGTTGAAAGGAAAAAAAAAAAAAAAAAAAAAAGGTTGTAGTAACTACGTCTGCGCCCTTCGCGGACGTGCTGCCACGACACACCCAAACGAAATTAAGGCAAAATATTTTGGCGGCCGCGACAACGTTGGAAAGTGGTGGGATCTCAAAACTACACTGTAATTGGGCTGTAGTGTAGTGGTGGGATCAGCCCCTAAGGGCCTGTCTACCTATGGCAATGTATAATGCCTTGCACAAAGGTTATCAAAAAAAGAGGAAAATCGTCAAAAATCAGAAGTGGAAGAGGGGGGGGGGCAGCAAAGTCGAGCTACGGACGCTATATTCTTCTCTCAATTTCACCTTTCACAACCTACCTACCACTACTCCTAAGCGTTTACAGGGGACCCCTGCAAGACACTGCCTGCGCACCACCCAAGGGTTGTCCATGGTGTTGTATGTCACGTCTTGATACTGCATGGGTTGCTTGTGGCTGTTGCTCCTGGTTGTTCTGTTGATCTCCCCAGTCTGGCATATCACACACGGGCCGTTTGCGATTGTTGCTCAAATGGTAGAGTCTTCAGGTCACATGGCATAGATCACGGGTTAGAGTCTGGCTTGGGACTTTGGGGGGGGTTCTTGTCCAGCTTGGCCTGTCATCTCTTCAAACAAACACAGTTCCCTCTACATAATACTGCACATATCTGGCCTTCGGGCACATATATCTCGCTATTCGGTTACGCAGAGCACACATAGCCTTCGGGCAGACACTAAAAACCGGGCCCTATGGGCTCATACAAACATACATAGCCTCTGGGCATACACACATACACACAACTATGATACCTGGGGGGGGTCTATCAGGTATATGACGGGGTCTACTCAAGCATGGCTTAGCTCTAGGGTAGGGTAGGGATATAAGTCGCTCCAGCTAGTCTGAGTTCCGCCTAGCCTTGGGTAAGTTAGGGGAAGGACGGTGTGACGAACTATCTTCTGTAATCGCACGACTTCCTGCGTGGGGCTGCTGTGGGGAAACGGGAGGGTCTTGATGGGTGACAGGGCGCAGGCGGGATCGATGGGGCAAGTTGCCTGGATGCCCTCGCTTCTTTTTCCGTTTTTGTTGGAGTTGTCGGGCCGGTCCTGCGCCGACGATTAAGTAACCGCGCCCTAGCGAGCGCGAGAAATAACGGTTGCCACAGCTTCTTTCTTGTTCTGCTATGCGCACTAGGAATTTTGGCGCGATCAGCGCGTGGGAATTTTCGTTTTTGAAATTCGAACTAATGTCGAGCCTCCCCCGCAGACTCTCGAAATTGTTTTTCTTTCCTTTCCTTCTTTTTCCCTTCGGGATTTTCTCTTGCAATTAGGATTTGGACTAGGAATTTAGGCACTTTGCAATTTGGCGGTACAACGCTTCTTGCTTGCACGCTTCGTGACCCGACAGGGTCTGGGCTCTGAATCCACCCGCCCCTTAATCCAGTGTGTAACTGTAGTTTTTGGCGGACGGGATCGCAACTGTGATCTTCTTGTTCTTGATGGCTTTTTGTATTTCCTTCTTTCTCGCCTCGTCTTCGCATGCACACTCTTCCTCTATTCTGAGTGGTTCACACGGTTGCAAGACCGGATCGATGCGCGAAGAGTGGCCTCGTCCCCCGCGCCGCGGCCTCGGCATGCAGATGTAGGCACTTCCCCCCTTCTCTTTCTCATCACTTGGTGCTAATCCCGTATCCCTCGCGCAAGCATACATGCTAGTGCGATTAGTTGTCTCTCTAACCTACTTGGGAGTTAGCGCGGTCGAGAGGATCGGCTAACGAGCAGAAAGATGGTGAGTAGAGAGTCGGGCGATCCGACGAGCTGGCGCTGAGTGCGCGGGGTTGACGCGTGGCCGTGACGGACTGTGGCACGTGGGCGAACCTGGCTTGCATACTCAGGCCAAGCGGGGTGACAACTCGGGTTGATGTTGGGGATGCAGGGCGACGGACTGCCCGCATCGGAAGAGAGAGAGATACGGGGATATGGTGGAATAGTGTCTATTCTCCCTACTGTCTGTATAAATTTTGATGTTAACGTTGGTCAATTTTTGTTGCGGCATTTTTGGAATTTCTTGAGTAAATCATATCGGACTTTTTGATGTATGTATATATGCATGAATGACGATGAATGAGCTCGTATCCTTTTTCTTTGAGTTGTTTTTTTTATCAATGATTAGGGAAACTGTTGGGTGTGGATGCTTGTGAATATCCAATAGTCCTTTCCACCCCGGGAACGAGATTGATTGCGTAAGGGAATTAGCTTCATGGCTGAACCGGTACGTTGACGGATCGCTCCTTGTTTATTTGTGCAGTTTAGGATCTGATCACTGGCCGGTGCACACGCACGTGTAAGACAGCAGCCGTTCGCGGACTTGCCATCTACACGCGCGCCTGCAAAAGCCAGCTACGATCTTGCCCTGTAGGAAGATGTGTGTGCATAAACTCG